TGTTAGATGAGCGCCCATCATCATTGCCCCTGACTTCACCGTAACCCTTCCCTGGTAGTCACAGCAAATATGTAATAAATCAGGCACAGAATACAAAGTACGTTGAATGAATAAAAATAAATTAATGCACCCAATGTACAGGTTGTATAGGTATTAACATCCTTTAGCTACAGGTTTGTAAAAAATACGATGCTGCTAGAAGGTTCTGTTTATTTCAAATTAGTATTCAGAAGACTTTTTATCCCATCTTTTCCAGTGACAGCCTCTCTTTTCCAGTTATAAAAAATATTAAACAGCTATTAAAGAGCCCTGCTGGATTTTTTTTCCGGCACTTTCAAGCCCATAACTTTTCTGTATCTTTTTGCCTTAACATAAGCATAAATTGGAGATTATTTTGTTCCCCCTCTCTAAACATGTAATGTGAACTATCGGGCATCTTCTAAGAAAGCATCCTGCAGCTAGAGTGGGCAGCTTACTACAGTTGTTGAGTCAGCTGCCGATTACTGTTTATTCTGCATTAACTTACATCGGTTTAAATTCATATTAATATTAATGTATGATTTGGATTTTGTCCAAGGCTGTCACTCACCATACAAATCTAATCAGCAGTAGCCCCGGCAACCTTCCACAGTAGCATGTGCAGTAACAATTTGCAACGGCAAATATTTGCATCGACAGGGATGGTTCATCCATTGAAAAACACACTAAGTTTTTGCTGTACAGCACTTAGGCAGACTATTACGGTTTAACAAATATTAGGCTGGACTGTATCCTGCCTCATGCAGGAGGGACTGGCAGCAAGGAACGGCCTCCCCCTCACTGCAAGGGTCCTGCAACATGCTAAGCCCCACCAGAAGGGCTGAACACTCCATTTTTACTTAAGTTAAAGGCAGGTGAAAACACTCAGATCCTTCCAGAATTCTTAGCAGCTCTGTACAATCAACTGGAAGAAACAGGGTTACTTCAGGTTGACAAAAATGTAAGTGCAGTAGTCCCACCAGAAATAATGTCACCACCTGACACAGACCAAGAGATGAAGAGGGCATTTTTGCGTATTGCCAAAGGCTTCCCAGGTCCAGTGTCCTGCCCCTCATGAATGCTGCTGTTTCTAACCCACTTAATCCACTGAACTGTAGGCTAGATATATCAAATTGCAACCTTTTCTAAAATCTGAGTGAGAAATTATCATCTGCTTGGTTTCAACATGTAATGAAATATTGGTCACAGGTTCCAACTGATTTCTAGCTGAAATGATTGGAGCTTTCACATTGGGATAAAGCCTGCGTTGGCATTTTAAATGCCCTATGTAGGCAAAGAAAACTAAAAGAACAGACTAGCATGGTTGTATTTTTCAAGTCAATTGCATCTCCTTATTTCCAGCATTTGGATACCCTCCCAATGTCATTAATATGCTGCAAGTTTTTACACTGAGTAACTCACACAAATGAAGTGGATGCTAAGAATGCCTGCTTTTTGTTTCTATAGAACTGTGGCTTGGGTGGGTTGTTAAATGGCGTTTGGACTTAACGCAAATCAAACCTCACCCCTTTCCGACAAAAGCAACTGCTTTAAAGCAACTTTATTTGCAGCACTACCATTCTGAACACTTTTCAGTATTTCTGCTGATTTTATTAATAAACTTGTTAGAGGTTTTCCACGGAAATCATTACAGATGATGTTCCCAGTGGTAGCCAGAAGTGATGAATTCTTACTAAAGAATGCAGGGAATGGCCCACCGGTGCCGACGTTCACTTTGTCACCGTGTTGGTTCAGAGCTGTGCGCCCGCTTTTACCTGACCTACCCTGCAACAACCCACCGGCCAGCTGCGTGGCAAAAGAGGAACGGGATTAGGAAGCGCATGCCAGGCTGGCCTACACGCAGACTCCAGTAACTCCTTCAGGAAAGACAATCTTTTCTGCAGGTGTCACTACGCCGCAGTGAATGTGCTGGTAGCCTTCTTATTGAACGTTGTCGAAAACTAGGCAAAGATGACAGGAGGAATTCTTCCTTTTCTTGTATTGATATAAGACTTCAATGTTACCAGCTTTTTTTTTTTTTTTAGTGGACATACATAGAATCAAAGTATAGAGACACACAAGGCTGTTTTGGCGATGCAAACCTGCCCCATCCGTGAGCAGGCCGCACGCCCGGTGCGTGATGCCCGAAGCCACCCGCGGCCGGCCGCACACCGCCACCGCCCAC